AGAGGGCAAAATCACGACGCTGTAATCTTCATTGCAGGGCTCGGTGTCTTCCTGAGGGTGTAATCGGCGAGGGTTTTTTTTACAACAGAAACTGGTTAAATGATCACTAAGCACTCCACTACCAGTGGTAGTAGTAATGAACACTTTGAGTGTTATTTCTGTCATAGTGTGACACGCAAGCAGTTACTAGCAACCATACGGAAAAAAGCCAACATATTATCCCATGGAATTGTGAATAAAAGCTTCAGTTGCCCAAGAAGTTTGGACACTTAGGTTCACAGCACAGGCCTTTTCTACTTGTGAACTTGCATATCAGTAGAAGACTGAGTATTTGTATCAGGAACTACAATGGGAAAGTGATTCACATTTTGCTGCAAGGTTTCCTAATTGATGATACCAGATCAGACTGGGAGACTCCTGAATGTCTTGATCACTGCCAGATTCTGGGGAGGTCCAGAGCCTCACGTACAATCCCCTACCCCAGTCAGTCTCTGGTCTTCTAATATTAAGTGTTCCTTCTCTTTTCTCCCCTGGTTCTTGCCCTCTCCTTCACCTATGCTTATCCTCTGCTCCCACTCCACTGTTCAGAGATCAGAGGTGGGTCGGCTCTGGCATGGACCCGAGATACTGCTGGCACAACAAAGATCAGTATCCTGCCTGTGACAGTGACCAGAAACAGATGCCAGAGGAAGAGTTTAGTAGCAGGATAATCATATAGTCACACTTGTCAGGAGTAACCTCCCAGCTTCCAGCAATGTATGTCTCAGACTTCTTGAGTGAGAAAAGTTATCTTTGTATGCAATATGCTTCAAAGGATTTGCCTTCTGTGAACAAGTCCACCCATCCCTCCAACCCATGTAAACATCATGATTCACACGGCTGCTCCCATCATGTGCTCAGGAACACATGATCTGTGTCAGATGATGCTGAAAGGGATGACAGGTTGTTAGTGCCCAAGGAAATCAACTTCTGCATAGACAGCTAACCAGAATCCACAGCTATGATCACATAGTTATATCTCATGGGTAACAGATTTACAGAACTAAACTCCTGCTTGTGTTAAAATACAGTTTTCAAAAGCACCTGATTTTGATTTTGACATTTCCAGTGCTGGGAAATCTAACTTGTTCCTCCCTAAATTGTCCCAGTGATTAATTACCTTCACTGGTAGAAGACCTCACTGGGAAGATGAATACATCTGCTTTTAGCATACAGTCACTGAATTTTGGAAGTACATAAAACCTGTACTTGACTCACACCCTTCACCTTGTTTTTTGACACTGAAATAGATTGAACATTTTCACTTTCAGTCTAAATCATTCTTACTTGTCTTCTCTGAACCATCTTTTGTTCAGTTTCTATTAAAGAATTAAGGAATTTGGATATCAAACTTCAGGAGCATTTGGAATAATACCAGAAAAATAAAGAAAGACATCTTTCTACATCCTCCTGTTTATAAAACCAAGGATTGCATTAGACTGTTGGCCACAGCATCACACCAACTGCTCATTTTCTTCTGATTATATGTGATGACTTTCGAGGTTTTTGAGCATTATCTTGTTAGAGCACAAATTCTCTCATCCTATAATCACTGTCTTTATTCTTTGGTGCATGTTTTTACATTTGGCTGTACAGAAATGCGTACTACTTGTTATCAAGCTGTCTCAGATACCTTACACCATGCCTTGTTATTTATGACTCTCTATTGCTTACATCACTTGCAAACTTTGTAAGTAAAGATTTTATGCTTTCCTTAGAGCCATTAATATCAGTACAATATAGTGTAGAACTAATTGCTATAGGACCCAGAAAGACATTCTTTGATGATGACTTCTTATTTCCCCACTTTGTAATTGCCAGTTAGCTAGAGTTTGAGCAGTTTAATGTGTGCTGTGATGAGTCTGTATCATTCTGGCTTCCTAATTAAAATGCTGCAAGTTACCAAAACAGTTATTTTACAGACCTTCTTACCAAACTTGTAATGCTATTTAAAAATCAAATTATTTTGGCAAGATTTATTTTCCACATTAATTGGCATTTATTGGGTTTCCATCTTTTAATTCTGTTTTAATCAAGTAATGTAGATAATGTCCTATTATATTACCCAGAATTCTTGTCAGACTGTCAGGTCATAATTAGCCTGGTCACCTTGTTTACCCTTTTAAAATATCAGTACAATATTTCATCCAGTCCTCTGGAACTTTAACAGTGTTCCAAGATTTATTGAAAATCAACATTAATGGTCTAAAGATACTCTGTGCCAGTGCTTTTAAAACTTTTGGATGCAAGTTACCTGTACCTGCTGATGCCCAACTTCATCGGCCTCTGTTTAACATCCTCCCTAGTGCCTGTTGTAATGGAATGTATTTAATCATCATCATATTTGTATATAATCTGGCTCTTCCCCAAATATGGACCAGAAATAGTTACTGAGCTCTTCTGCCTTTCCTACATTATAGTTAACCATTCTACTATTTCCACCTAGTAACAGACTGAAGCCATTACTAAGCTTCCTTTCTCCCCAAGTTTCTGCAAGCTTCACCAACTAGTTAAAAAATCCTCGTTTGTCCTTAACTCTGTTGTTCATAGATTACTCTCACTTCATTCTGAATCCTGTATCAGTTGCCCGTAACTCCTAGCTCCCAGTGTACATATGTTTTGTATTGACCCTGTAACTCACTGCTGCCCCCTTCAACTAGGGTACTTCATAGCTTCCCCTCACTTTTCTAACCGGTCTTCTCACCCACTTTCCAGTTCCCTGTCTTTTGCAAATCAGTCTCCCCTTCTATGGGCTCTCCTTCATGCCTCTTCCTTGGTAGTTGCTCATAAAGAGCTAAGCAAAGATGGTAAAAGACCATGTCTTGGAAAAGAGGTGTCAAACGCAATACCAAATGTCCATGCTATTGTGTGGGGTACTACTAGGCATGATTTCGTATGAGGATGCTGTAGAGTATCATTGACATGAGACTGACCTACATGGAAGAGCTAAAGATACTTTTTGAAGAATTTGTAACTCTAACACTTGTATAAAGATGTTTCCCATCTCTCCCAACTAATGTTTTGCATGATTTCATGAGATAGCCTTCTTCCAAAACAGCCAATTATGATATCTTTCAGGTAAAAACTCTCAGTGTTTGGTGAGAAAGCATTCCAATGAATGGCTGTATACAGAGAGATTAAAGTAGAATGAAATTATGGTAGTGATATGCCTCTGTGAAATATAAGTAGATGGCAAACCTACCTTGCATGCATTTGGCCAGAGGGAACAAAGTGTTACATTGCTCACCCTTTAATTTACTTCCTTTCTGTTTGTCAGTCATATTGTGTGTTTTGCAGTCTGAGGTGTTTCATGAGAATTGTTTTGAGGATAGTAATTGTGTATTGGACTGATTTGAACTCATCTGTGCTTTACAAGCATGACACCACTAATTGTAAAAGAGATAGCAAGTTGGAGTTAACCCAGAATGCTTTATGGGAGAAAATAGATTCCATCTCCATTAACATGCTACTACCAGCTATGATTGATTAACATTTTTTATCTCCTCAGCTCTTTGCCCAGGGATTGATGATTCAGTTGATTTGGAGTATCTTGTATTTTCTGCTTGAAAAGCACATAGTTTTACCAGAATCGATGAATAAACATTAAGTGCTTCCCTTTCATTTCAAGTTGGATGGGCTGATGCTCTTGGAACAAGAAGGCCTAGATTTTATCACCAGGGCTCATGACACCATATTCACTGCCATATGTAGGAAGTTAATGGAGAAGCCTAACCTGCTGAAAAGCGATAGCCTGCAAGTGCGAAGACCTGATAAGTGGGAATGGCAGCGCAACTGCATTAGCAGCCACCACATTCGCCTTTCCCTCCCTCCTAGAGGTGACATGACGCTCCGCCACGGCTGAGGAGGCCGGAGCGCCGTCCGAAGGTGAGGGGACGGCGGCTCTTCCCCCTCCTCTCTTCCCTCGGCGCGGGGGAAGCCGTTTCTGAGGGGGAGCCGAGGCGGCGGGGCTCCTGAGGCGATGAGCCCCTGAGGCGATGAGCGCCGGCGCGGGAAGGGTGAGGCCGCAGGCGCGCGGGGCGCTGCCCTCCGCCCGGCAGGGGGCGGCTGTGCGCGCTGGAGCGGTGCGGGCCGGCCGCCTCTCCCCGCCGCTCGCCCGCTCGCCCCCGGTGCCGCGCCGCAAGCCACAGGCGGGGAGTGTCTGGAGGCCACGCGGGGAAAGGTGTCCCGCTCCCGGCATGGGCGCCGCCGTGGCCGCCTCCTCTCAGAGAGAGAATGGGTGAGGCCCCGGGCGCGTAGTTATGGTGTGGCATAACCTGACAGTTTGCTATCGCAGCTCTGAGGCTGTTTCTGTGAGGAACCAGCATGTTTGTGTTGGTTTTTTTTTTTTTTTTTTTTTTTTTTTTTCTTTTGTTTCGGAATCCTGCTTTGCTGAAGAGTTAACATGTCTTAGAGCGGATGGCTCCGTGTCTGCGCACCCCTCAGGGGCGGCTGCGGGTGTCCCGCTGGCCAGGGTGTCCCCGATCCTGAGGGTACTCCCTGTGAAATGGCGAAATCCGAATGGCTCCCCTCCGCCAACTCCTTCTGCCCACCGCGCGTAGCCGCGGCTGCAGCCGGCGGCGGGGGTAGCCCTCCCGGCCGAGGGCGCATCAACGCGGTCGCGCAGCTCCTCCGGCCACCGATGGGTGCCTTCCCGCGGCGTGGGCAACCCCACCCCATCCCATCCCTCCCCGGTTTGCGGCTCCCCACGCGTGTGCGGGGGCCCACGGCCCGCAGGCTTGGCGGGACCCGGCGGGCGGTGGTGAGCGGGGCCGGCCCCCCTCCGCGGCGTCCTCCCCGCTCGCCACACACACCCGGCGGCCGGTTGAGACTCCTCCCGCTCCCCGCCCCGTGACGCCCGGGCCGGAGGTGGCGGCGCGGCCCGCCCGGCCCCCCGCGCCGCGGGGCGGGGGCGCGGCAGGCTCCGCACAGCCTCCCCGGCGGTGCCGCAGTGCCGTGCGCTGCCGCTGGGGCCGGCCAGGGGGCGCTGGCTGCCGGCAGCTGCGGCGGCCTCGGCCGCGGAGCCCAGCGAGCAGCGAGCCCGCCCGGCTGGCAGGCGCTGAGGGCGGGCACCGGCCTCTCCGGCGCTCGCGGGGTCTGCGGGGCCCGCCCGGCAGCGAGCGGCGGCGGCTGGAGCGCGGCCCCGGGGGATTCCCCCCCCCGCTTCGCCATGCAGACCCGGCGGCGCCTGCTGCCTCTCGAGGTGAGTGAGCGGCGCCCGGCCATCCGCCCCCCCACCTCCAAGGCCCGGGTATCCCGCTCCCCAGGCCCCCGCTGACCGCAGCGAGGCCCCGCGGGCGGGCGGGGAGGGCTCCGACGCTTCAGCGGAGCCGCCGTATCGCCGACACCGCCCCAGCCTGGGGGGCCCCGCGTGCCCCCCTCACCCCACCGCCCTTGTCCTCCCGCACGCCGCCAAGGGGAGAGGCGCCTCGCCGCCCTGGGGGGGGGGGGGGGGGGGGCGGGAAGGCAGCGATCGCCCCTCAGCCCTCACCGGCGGTCCTCCGAGCCCCCTCCCCGCCGTTCCCCTCCGTCCCCGGGTGCCTGGGACTGGGTGACCTACTCGCCCTGCGCGGCCGGGGCACCGTCCTCCCCGCGCCGGCGATCCTGGAGAAGGAGAAAGAGCTCTTGCCGTCCTCCATCGGGGCTCCCCCGCCGGGACCCGCCGGTGCCGGTGCGGGGCGAGGCGAGGCTGTTCCCGGGCCGCGCCGTGCGCGGGGGACCCGCGGGCAGCCTCGGCTCCTGGCCCGGGGAGGGGAGGATCCTTGTTTGCATTTCGTGCCCTTTTTATGGCCTGATCTCCGCTCTCTCCCCGGGCAGGGGAATGTTACTTGCTCATCGCGATGTGTAACAAGTCACTCCTGCAATGGTGGTAGTGGTGGAGGGGGATGGGGCGAGCGAGCGGGCGGGATGCGTTTTATAACATCTCTAATTACGTGAAACTGTGGTCATGTCTCACTCTAAGAATAACTGACACTCTTGGCGTGTCAGACTTTTTGCAGAGGTGGGTTAGTTACTTGCTCATAAATGTTACGATTAAATAGGTGCATATGATGGAGGGTGGCTGAAGAACTGTTTTTGTCTTGTTAACCAGACTCAGAAACAAGTAGCAGATGGGAATTGATTGACTTTATGTTTTTGTGTTATCTATCTTGTTTATTTATAGACAAGATATTCCTGACTATTTTGTGACACAGGGTTCAGAGGGTTTAATTTTTACACATATTTTCATTCAGTTAAAATATTAGAAGTTGACTGAGTTCCAGCAATCTTTTTTTTAAGTATGGTTGTATTAACTAGAATTTCTGAATAACACTGCCCTCAATATTTTGGTCCAGGCTGAATTCAAAACTTGAAGGGGCCCTGTATAAATAATAATGAAAAAAGATGCTTTACTTGAATAAAAGCTTTTATTTTCTTTGGTCAGCATTTTTACTGACTAGGCAATGTTTTAAAACATTTCAATTACCTTTTATTAGCAAATAATTTTTGATTGCATGAAAGAAATCCAGATTTTAGATACACCTTCAGTGGTTGAAACAACACTGAAATCCTTTGTTATTGCCTGAACCCAGTAGTGCACTTCTTTTTATAAAGTTACGGCATGTGATACAAAATGAGAACAGTCTCCTTGACCCAAGAGAGACAAAATTAAAAACCTCTTCAGAGGTCTGGGGAATCTGAAATGGAAGCTGAACAAGAGCCCAAAATTTCAAACAAGCTTCCTTCTAATTCAAGCCCTGGTCTACACCTAACAAGTTACCATGTTCTGACACATTGTGATTGATTCTCTAATTGTCCATTGCTTTATGGTGTCTTCTTTAGAGTGTGAAAAAGGAAGAAAAACACCCCTAAACTGCAGTGCTGAGTCCTGATATTGGGTGTTATTTTTGTGTGTTAGCTTTGAGTCAGTTATTAGGCTGGGGATTAAATACTTTCAAACACACATTTCAGGATCTGAGGCCTGAGGCTAAGACTGAGATGAAATACAGTTTTTTTACTTTGGCATAAAGTCTGACTGTGATTGTCTCAGGGAACAAAGGTAGAGACTGAACAAAGATGTAGTATTAAAACTTGTGGCCAAAGAATGAGAAGCTTTTAATGTCTGTTGTCGCCTGTCCACTAGCTATTCCAGCTTTAGCAGAAAATAGCTTGCTAGCGTTCCAGTTTACGGGCTGTCTATAAAAAAATTACCTGGAAATTATTTTGCAAAAGGATTGGAGCAAAGTTTTGCTTCTGAATAAAAGTTGGAAAAAAATAAAGAGATTCTGGGACTAAGTTGTGTAGTCATGTTTTATTGGTCAGAAACATATTTTGATTCACTAAGCTGAGAATTTTCCAAATGGAAGTGAGTTTCTTGACAGAAAATCAGATGAGGGATAATAGTTTCAGTGCGTGGTTAGTCTGTATGCGGATGGGTCGGGGATCTTTTCCAGAACATTGTTGGAAGACACCGGTATATTCATAGACTACTTTGAAAGTTTTATATAAAGACTACTTTTTTTTTTTTTTTTATAATGTGATTGAGATTAAAAGTCTCTAAAGAAATTGAAAGGCGGCCTGTTTTAGAGCTCTATTTGTGATTCTTTATGAGACTCAAACTTTGAAATGAACAGAAATGTGAACTAACATGCTCAGTTTTCCCTCCAGTTGTTTTTGTGAATCATTCAGATATGTGTCCATACAATGATACTAGAAGTTTACAAAGCTTTTTGTATTGATAAGAAATATATAGTCAAGAGTAAATGTCTGAAAGTAAGTTAAAGCATTGAGTTGTAGGTGATAGAGACAGCTTTTACTTCTGTGTTGGCTTTAAGTGTTGGCTACGTCTTGCAACACTGGGAAAATTACATCAATTAATGTAAATGGGTGGAAAGTTTTAAAAGATATATCAAGGATCCTTTGTTGACATAGTAGTTTCTACTTAAATTAGAATTCAGGGTACATATTTGTACAAATTTATTTGACTAGTGACTAGAACAAAACACACTATATAGTTATCAAAAGAATAGCATGCTTTGAAAAATCATTCTTAAAAGTGTGGCAAAAGTAAATGACCATTGTTGTAATACATAAAAATTATATACATAAATATTTTTTATTATTTATTTGATAGATATAAATGATTCTATGTCTGCAGACAAGTAAAGTACTTTCCTACTTACTCTTTGGTTGGCTGGGTTTCACTTAATTGAAACTAAAGCATAACACAATTTCTTTTTTCTAGTTTGGCTGGTAAGACTCTTTTTAGACATCGAACATCTGTAGATTTTAAGGTGCCCTGTTAAATCTTAATGAGTGTAATTCTCGGCTAGAATTTGTGGGAAGGAATGAGCACGAATGTCATACCTAGGGTATTAAACTGTGTCGTTCCTTCAAATGTTGTTTTCTAGAGAAAATTACAAGACATTGCAGATCCCAGGACCTTTTTGTTGGGATTAATGGAATGCTGCATTCAGTGCTTTGGTCTTTGACAGCGCTTTGTTTCCTGAATGTGCTTTATGATGTTTTCTCCCTTTTGTGTCAGACACATGCGGAGTTTGGGATATTTAGGAATGCTGCTACTCCGGCTGCCGTAGCAGACAGGTAGAATAGGAAAAATTCTTTTAAGGCAAGATTGTATGTGTTCTTTCACTGAATCTTTCCAGTATTGTTTATTACTGGAATATTACAACAGTAATTATATCACTGTTGTATTGCTAGAAGAGATAAGCAGAAATATGTAATATTCATACTTGTTTTTCAGAAGTAACAGCCCTCCAACTAGTACATCAGCATCAAATAGTCTAAAGGTGAATGATAGAGGAAATCTACAAAGGGTCATTTCAACTATTTTAAAGGTCATTACTAGAGAAATCTAATTCATTTAAAAACATAGGTTAAAGACAAACAGTGCATGGCCAGGAACTTATGGGTGACAACACTGGGTAGATTGTTCCTTCTGCATTCTTTCATCCAGATCTGCTGCAGTGGCAGTTGACTTAAAGAAACAAATCCAGTCAGCTGAATTTTACACAGGCATAGTTCTGTTACAGTAAAAAAAAAAAAAAATGGAGGTGGGGGGGTAAAGAAGAGTGAGAAACTATGTGAAAAACAGGTGTGGAGTCACAATCTGTATATTTTCTCTGTTCTAGAAAGCATGGAGCAAGAGTGCTCTCTGAATAGCTTGCGTGATATCTTCAGTCTAAGTATAAACTAAGGCAATAGTTGCCTTAGTTGTGAAGGCCACTGAGGAGGGAGCTTAAAGAAACTTTAACATTGTTTTGCTTCCATATAAAATTTGATAATTTGGAAATGTCAATATGTGGCAATCTGACCATATGTTATGTTTTGAAGTTTTGGTGTCCATATATTGAAGTTTTCACATATTCGATCCCCAGTGTCCAGTGTACGCTGGGCAAATGAAAACATGGACTTCAGTGTTGGATTTCCACTTATATTAGTTTTTAATTTGTCTTTATATTCTTGAGTAACAATTATTACCCTTCATATTGAATTGTTTGCAGATAATGCTAATGACTGTACCCTATATATTTTGTCTCTAGGTTGTATATAGAATATAGAAATATCTTTGTCTTGTTGCTGTATGTGTTAATAATACTCATATCTGATATTTTGATAGCAACAGAAGCTACAAATCTGCCTTATGAGTCAGTGGGGTCACCATAGTATCAGTTGTTTAAGGGAATACACTGAAGGTCCAGAAGCATTCTGGTGGGCTATGCTAGGATTGTCTAGATTTTTCTATCAAAAATTGTATTTCATGCAATTAGTATACATTTTGTTTCTGTTTTCTATGCTTTTCCCTTCTCCTTTAATATCAACAGATAGCTTGATGAATTTTTTTAAGAGATTGTGTAATGAAGTTGGGTAGGACTTTACAGTTGGAAATGATTTTGCCAGTTAATAATTTTTCTTAAAATTGTTTTGTTGGATTTCTGTTACTGGTTTGGTTCCAACATAGTAACAAAGGTAGAAAGCTTTCTAGTGGAGGCTTGAGGCATCAACTGATACTTTAGACAGTGATGCTGAACCCTGGTTTAGAGTATGGCTTTGTATATAAAATAATGCAGTAGCGTGTCTTTGCTAGTGTCTTCCTGTTCTTTTTGGCCTGGTTTGAGCTGAACTGATGTTCACAGTAAGAAAAAAAGCACTAAAGCCTAATGTAGACAAAGCTGGAATGTTTTTTTGGTTGGTTGGTTGGTT